AAAAACATTTAAAAATGAAAATGCTATTTAAAATTTTTCTAGGAAATAACATTTTGTATATCATAACAATTTAAAAAATTGAAATAATTTCTAATGCTTGACTGTGTCTATTCATTTTATTGGGGGGATTATAACTTTTAATAGTTTTAGTGATTAGCTCTATTAAACCACTCTATATTTCAGTCTATACACATGATTTGGAAGGTTATTAGAATGGTCTTACAGGTAAAAAATAATAATAAGGTAGCTTTTCCTTACATAATTTATAAAAACATGTCAGTGATACTACCATACCGTTTAACATTTTGAGAACATTTGAGATGTTGTTGTTGTGTGCTGTTGAGTCGATTCCGACTCATAGCAACCCTATAGGACAGAGTAGATGCTGCTGGTGGATTCGAACTGCTGACCTGTTGGTCAGCAGCCTGAGCTCTTAACCACTTCATCATTAGGGCTCCACAATTGAGATACTGATTTGTAAAGAAAGGGCAACCATTGCAGTAGATTTTGGTTTACAGATGTAAACAGAACCAAGTTTCAATGTCCTCTGAATTTCAAAACTACAGACCTTGTCTTATTTTTTTATTTTGGGAGGACTTGTCTAGGGATACAAAAATTATTGTTATTCAATATGGTGGCTCATTTTACATAAAGCTACCAATTTGATAGTTTTCAGTATTCATTTTGGGGAGAGAATTTCTTAGATGGCAAGATTTAATCTATTCTCAGCATTTGCATCATTTACAATGTTCTAGGTTACAAGTTACAGAAACCAACTGTGACTTTCTTAAGTAAAAATTATGAATAATTGGAAGGATATATCGTATTTTTACACACGTAACACGAGTAAGATTGAGAACTATTTTCACAAAATTGACTGGTTGAGTTGATAAACAAAATACAGGAAGTCTTCATTATATGAGTACTGAGAAAAGACCATTAAAAATCAACCCCCTTAAATATTCTCAAGTGAAAAAAGTAAGGTACAAAACAAAGCATATACTAAATTATCATTTAGGTAAAATATATACATAAGAACACACAAGATTTTCTGGAAGAATCCCCAAGCAACTGGTAACCTCATATGAAGTATAAAATTTCCTCATTTCTTCCTAGATACTTCCTATGAAAAAAAGCTGGCCCAGCAAGAAACTTTTTCTTGCAGAAAATTCTAAAACACAATATATTGAGGAACAGACAGACTTGGATCATTATAGAGAACAGCCCTTTTTGTATACACTTCTGAGTATTATCAAGATAAAGGAATTGTTGATGGAGATGTTGTGATCTCTTGTGGTGGGGGTTTGGAAAGGGGTAAGCCAGAAGGGCAATAATGCTGTTTAAGAGTTTTATTAACACACTGATCTAATTCCCAATAACATCATCACCCAACCTCTTTTTTTCCCTCCCTCCCTTCTGTTCACTTGTTCCAGTTTTTTTAAAAGGTGGGAATCTCATTAAAAATTGAACAAGACCACATATACAGTGACACTGAGTTTGTTCCATTGAAAAACAAAAACAAAAAAATCTGGTGCAAAGTCATATCACTGAAGGAAAAATTGTTCTTAATTTTTAAAACATCAGTTACAAATTTATAATAGCAAGTTGAATTTTTGTTATCATTTTTGTAAAAACTCTTCACCTGTAAACACAGACTTCAGCATCAAGGTGCGCTGTATCCTCTAGTCCATTTGTTCTCAAAGTGTAGTCCTCATCACTATTTCTTGGGAACTTGTTACAAATGCAAATTCCTGGGCCCCGCCCCAACCTGCTGAACTCTGGGATGGTGCCAGGCCATCCGGGGGACTCCGACGCACAATAAAGTTTAGAAACCAGCACCTTAATCCAGTGATTCTCAACCCTGCTGCACATTGGAATCACTTAAGGAATTTTGAAAAATGCCACTGCCTGGGCCCCATCCCCAGAGATCATGATTTGATTGGTTTGGGGTGTGGATCTAGGCAAGTGGCTCCAATGTTCAGCCAGGATTCAGGAGCATAACTCTAACCTGCTTAGTTCATCTTGGCCTTTGTGGCCAAATAAAATGACTCAAATTGACTACATCCCAGTAGGACGGAATTAGTTTCCCTCTCAAAATCTGTAGAAATTTTTGAGAAAGTTTAAGTGGAGAGGATTGAGTTGTGTAGGTTGACCCAGGTGGAGAGGATTGAGTTGTGTAGGTTGGAGCCAGAGGTAGCTCTCATCTTCTTTTTTCTTTCCTTTAACCTCTGGGATTTACTCTCATTGTCCTTTTTTTTTTCACTTCTCTAATTTTTATTTTTTAAATTTTGCTATATTTTCGGTGAAAGTTTACAGTGCAAATTAGTTTCTCATTCAAAAATATATACACAAATTGTTTTGTGACTTTGGTTGCAATCTCCACAATGTGTCAACACTCTCCCCTTCTCCACCCCAGGTTCTCCATGACCATTCATCGAGTTTTCCCTTCCCTTCCTGCTTTCTTGTCATGCTTTTGGGCAGGAATTGCCCATTTGGTCTTGTATTTTTCATTGCCCTTTTAAGTCTTTTCAAGGTTTAAGACAGGAATAACTTGATTGATCTTATTGATAGTTTAAGAGAATCATTCTGACTACTGGGTGGAAAATGGCAGGAGTGGAGCGGGTATAGTGGTATAGTGGTTAAAAGCTGAGCTGCTAACCAAACGTTCAGCACTTCAAATCCACCAGATGCTCCTTGGAAACCCTGTGGGGCAGTTCTACCCTGTCCTACAGGGTCGCTATGAATTGGAATCGACTCGATGGCAAAGGGTTTGGTTTTCTGACTTTTGGAGCAGGGAAGAAAGAGGAGGCTGTCGCACTAGTCCAGGCGGGACATGAGTGATGTAGATTTACGTTTGTAGCAATGGAGAGATATATGCTAAGGATTCGGGTGTGAACTATTTTGGTAACAGAATAAACATGATCCTGTCCTATCGTGATTTCCCATCCCCTTGGCCACAGTGATTCAATCAGGTAGGAGAGAGGAACCATGCTAATCACTAAAAAAAAATTAAAAAGTAGCTGTAGAGTTGATTCTGACTCACGGCAACCCCATGTGCTACAGAGTAGAACTGCTCTATAGGATTTTCTTGGCTGTAATCTTTACTGAAGCAAATCACCGGGCTTTTCTTCCACAGAACCATAAGGTGGGTTTGAACCATCAACCTTAGGTTAACAGACAATCACAAACCACTTGCACCACCCAGGGACCTTAAGCCAATCATCACCTGTAAACCTGTTGCCGTGGAGTCAATTCTAACTCATAGCAACTCTATAGGACAGAGCAGAACTACCCCATAGGATTTCCAAGGAGCAGCTAGTGGATTCAAATTGCCATCTTTTGGTTAGCAGCCGTAGCTCTCAACCACTGTGCCACCAGGGCTCCTGCCAGTCATTAGCCACTGACATTTTCTCCTCCTGTATGGGGAAACAAATTTCTCTGGTTCATCATCTAAGATGAAGGAAGCTTGGAATTTAAAACTCCATGAGGAGACAGAAAGTCCTTTGAAGCAAGTAGTCATTGAAAGAACCTTGAGTATGTAAATGAAAGGCCAGCCATTACTTCTGGTTCTAGAGAAACTGGAGCTGCCCGTCTTTAGAATGCAAATATCTGAGAAGGCATATGGAACCCTTTGCTTATGGAGACCAGGACCCTTCCCAGTTTTTCAAACTGCAGGTCGCAATCAGCTGGTGAATTGTAAAGTCAAATTAGTGTGTGAGACAATTTTTTTTCCTAATGAAGTACAATGAGAAAATTATAGTGCATCATAAGGATAAGTATTGTTTGGAAAACTTGTTTCATACACCATTATGTACTAGACAACAGTGTAAATTATATTTCTTGCTTGAGTTCAAGATCACAAATGTTAAATAACCATTCCAGGATGAACCATTTCCCAATGGTATTCAATGTTATAAAGATCTGTTGAGGTGAATCAGGTGGAGCCATCCCGGGCCCAGTGTTAGGAAAGGGCAAGGAGGCCCCCGAAATAAAACTATCATGGAAGTCAGGGTGAGCTGCTCCCCTTGCCAGTGGAATTGGAAAGAGAAGGGAGATGACAATTCTAGGACTCTTTGGCAAGGAAGCGAAAGGCAGATTCCAGAATATGTCCTGACCCAGCCTGTGTGGGGCAGACATCAAGCAGGAATGGCTGACTCAGTAAATCAGAAGAAATACAACCCCAAAGGCACTTAATAATTCGAAAGTATAAGACTAACCAAAAAAACAGATGGTCTTCCCTCTGAAAGTTAGAATGTACAGGGGGTTCTGTACCCATAATTACACCTAGTGGGCAGAAGGACAGGGATCCAGTCTTCAGCAGAGAAATTTCTCTCTTTATGTAATGGAGTCCGGGAGGTTCAGAATCATTTGCCATTGTAGAAACTTGATATCCTTTGGTTGAGTCTATTGGTGCCCCTTTGCCAATCATATTGCTCTGCCAGTTTGATAACCACACAACATGTCTATTATTGAATCAGGTAAAGGACAATTCCCATAAGAAAAAATGAGTGACTATTAACTATATATCTTAGTCAAAGTTCTTTGGATTTCAAGAAACCTTAGACACCAAAAATGGGAAGCTTTCATTCTTCTTTCTCCCCAGACAATATTATCATCAGATATCACATCATATAAAAGAGTATCAAAATTATGAAAAAGATATTATTTCTATACACAAAATTTAATAATCTCATAAATTTACAATCTAATAATCTCCATTTAATTACTTGTTACAGAACAAATGTGCAATATTATCTCTAATCATCATGGCTATTCAGCTGAGATACAATCATCCCCATTTATAGACAAGGAAACTGAGGCTGAGAGAGCTTAATAATATCCCCTAAGACTCCATAATTTTATTTAGTTGCAAAGCTTACAAAATCTACAAAAGTCACTCAGCTACAAAGTTTACAAAAAAAGAAAAACTATAAAATCTACAGAATCTTTCCACTCTAGCATGCTGTCTCTCCCTCAGTCATTCTGATGTGTTTCAAGGTCAAATCTCATTCTCCTTTCTGAAAGCTTCTAGGAAGAACTCAGTTTCTCATGCACAGATTCTCAGAGGCGCTCCACTGTCACCTTCTCCAGGCTGCTCAGGACAGAAGAATGGACGCAAAGGCTCTGAACGGGAGAGTTCTTCATGTGTATAGATGAGGGCATCATTTCTAACATCAAAAAATTTTACTTCTTCCATCTCAATATCCAGGAAAATTCCCACATGGTGAAGGCTAGGGCTTGCAGAAATTCTGATCTGTGGGAAGGAGTTGCTGTAGATTGCTCCTGCCTTCATGCTAATGATCCAGAAGCCATGTTCAGTGGATAAACTGCCCTTCACTTTTCTGTCCACAGACTCCTTGCAGACACCCAGAGTCCATTCTTTCCCCTCTTCCACTTCTACCTCCCAGTAATGGCGGCCAGTGGAGAAGCAGGGAGTGCCGAGAACACAGGTCATGTAGGTGAATCTATTGGGATCTTCCACTGGGTTGTTGCAGATCTTCCCACACTGAACACTCCTAAGGTCACTGGAGAGCACAAGCAAGGAGCTGGCGGTAGCTGCATCCAGGGTCATATCCTCTCGGCACCTCAGGAGTCTATCACTCAAGTGCAGTCTTTGCTCCAGTAGGGGACCATGCTGCTTGATGAGAAATATCAATGCTATCATTTGCCATTCTTCCAAAAGAGATCTCTCATGCATTCTTCTACACATAGGGCAGATCAATATTGGCTCCTCCCTTTCGCGAATCCAAGTTTGAATGCAATCGCAACAAAAGGTGTGTGCACAGGAGAGAGAAAAAGGTTTGGAGAAAAAAATCCAGACAAACAGGACAGGTCGCCTCTGCTTTCAGACTCTTGGCCATAGTTCTTGAGGGTCAGCAGTCAACTGAGCTGAAAAAGCTCTTTCTTAGCTTCTGGAATCGATCGGGAGCCCTGTGTACGTGATCTGCTCTTTAGTAATCAGGATGTGTCTGAAATCACATGTGGAAAAATACTAAGTTAATATAAAAAAATTAAAATGTGCTAAAGTGGGCAAGGCAATGCTAACTCTTTCAGAGGTGATAGTGGTCAAAGAGAAATAGGATAATGGAAATAGTCTTTTCAGAGGGGGCAGCTTACCTTGTCTGAAGACTTCCAGCTGAGGTTCTCTCTGTGAGAGGTGAGCTGAACTGGGTCTTTATCCAGTCTAGGCGTGCAGTCTCCACCCTTAATCAGTATTCCTTTGTGAGTCACCTGCAGTTCAAGAATCAAAGAATTTTCACATCTAAATCAATCATAAAAATAAAGCCAATCTTACTCTACTCATCACATAAAGGTGGCTATAAGGGACCCCCAGAATTTAAAAAAAAAAATTACCATTTAAAGAAAACTAGCAAAATCCATTACAAAATAAATGAGCTGCCTATTGTAGAATCGTAGAATGTTAAGGACAAAATATTGTTCTGATTAAGTGCTTTAAAGTACTTTTGGAAAACTAATCAAGGCTTGAGTGAGTGTGAATGAAAATATCACTGGTATTAACTTCTCTAAAATAATCATCATGTCTGAGCAAAAAGCCAAAAAGGCATTCATGACAAGGATGATACCCGTCAGTTACCGCAGCTGCTCCCAAAGCTTAAGAAGCTCGGTTGCACCTAGAGCTTCCTCTGGGCCTTACTACAAGGCTGCCTTACTTTGGGTAAGCTAACTCTGACCTTCTGGGCATGGCTGATTGAACCAGGTAAGCCCATGACCCAAAGACAGCCATCTAAGCCTGGTCAGTGACTACGAGATGTTGTGAATCATTAATTCTTCCCCAAAAAGGGCCTGCATTGAGTAACTAAAAAACTTTCTCTTACTAAGAATTCACAAATCACACATTCAGTTGGAACTGAATAAACAGATTCAGAGACAGAAAGGAGCACAGTCAACAACACTAGAAACCGAGAGACAGAGTATATAGCAATTGGACACTTCGGTGGCCAGCCCAGAAAACTGCCTTGCTAAAACTGTTCTGCATCCTAGGATACATTGACTCCTCTCCATTCTTACTTATTTACAGCCTCCACACGCCAGGTCTCAACTAGACTCAGGAGGTGCAAATGTATGTAACAATAGACAGCCTATCTGCCCACATGGAACCTGGAGTCATCTGAAGCCTTCCAATGCCTGAGTGACAGTTCAGTCTAATGGGATCTGACTGGATGGCAATAGAGATAATCTTTCTTAAATCCTGTTATCTTTTTTTTTTTTTTTAACTATTTTTTTAAGGCAAATTAAACATGTCGCTTGCAATCCAAAAGCGCTAGCCTAACACACCTTGGAAGGTAACTAAGAAAATAATTTAACAAATGAAATAATGCCACCTATGTAAAAAAGTAGTTCTTTTTATTATTACTTATGATCCCAAATGACCAAAAGCAATCTAATTATGAAACAATAATGCAATGATTAGGTTAATTATAATACAAGTACAAGTGGCAAGTGTACTTATAAGTATACTTATTTATGAAAACCCAGAAAAGTCTTTAAGAAATAACGTTAGAAAATAAAAAGGAAAGATTTTTCAATGACACATACACTGTAGTTAAAAAAGCATATACATGTAAAAATGACCTGAGGTTAATATGCAAAAAAATAGACGGTGATGTTGGAAAGTTCTCTGACATAGGACCAAAAAAAAAAAAAAATCCCGTTGCTGTCCAGTTAATTCCAACTCATGGCGAACCTAGAACCTATAGGACAGGGTAGAACTGCCCCATAGGGTGTCCAAACAGCGACTGGTAGATTTGAACTGCAAACTTTTTGGTTAACAGCCGATCTCTTAACTGCTGCGCCATCGGGACAAGATTGGCTTTTCCTTTTGGAAATTCAAATGTGAAGGTATTCGAAAGAGAAGTTGTGTTCAAAGAGAGAAAAATAAGACAGGGCCGGCTTACCTTGACTTGGAGACATTCGGCTGGAGTCCTGAATGGCAGACGTCCGCTCTGAGTCTCTGCTTCCTCCGCAGTGACTTTCGTCTGAGGTACAGAGGGCTTTTACATTGCCTGGTACAAAGGCTCCGCCCTCAATCAGAGAAGCAGCCTCCTCCCCAAAGAATGTGTTGTCTAGATTTAATCAAATAGATTCAATCAATTCTACTCTTCATTGCATGACGATGGCGTTAAAACATGATAAGCATTATGTAGTATAGCTACCCTCTTTGAATTAAAAACCCCAAAAAACCAAACCTACTGTCATCGAGTCAATTCTGACTCATAGGGTTTCCAAGGCTGTAAATCTCTAGGAAGCGGACTGCCACATCTTTCTCCCGCTTTCGGTTAGCAGTCAAGCGCTTTAACCATTGTACCGCCAGGGCTCCTAATTTTAGAACTTAACTTTGAAAAACAAAATGATTTACAGACCAAATACAGAAACACACGCTGAAACGTAATCAGATCGTGCCTAATGTAATCACTGGTATTAACGTCTCTGAAATAACAGAATCTGAAACAGTTTTCATGTGCTTAGACTCAGCAATTCTATCTTGAGGGTAGTTACTGGACATGATAAGAAAGATGGCAGCCAGTTTAAATCTTTTATGGGGTAATTGTTAACAATACCCTCTTGTACTCTCAAAAATGTCCAGATTTAGACAATAAATTATGTAATATCAGTGTTGGTGCTAATAGAAGCATTAAAAGTAATAACAGAGGAAAGCTAGGACCAAGTAATCAAAAAACGGGCTTGGAGTGTCAACAAATTCCTGTTGCTGAAGTAAACCCTTCCCATGGGATGGACTGCATTCTTACTTCCCACTTCTCGTCTTTTCCAAGTTCGGCAGTACGAGGCCAACCACACAGCTTTAACTGTGTTTGTACATGGTTGCTGCCATGAGTTACACCCATTACCATGAGTTAAATCCTTACAGCAGCAGGTCTGAAACTTTTTAAATTTTAATATCAGGACCCTTTACACTTCAAAATGACTGAAGTCTTTAAAAAAGCTTTCTTTTTTTTTCTTTTAAACTCTCCCTTCTCCCTCCTTCAACCCCTGATACCTATTTATCTTTTTTATCTCTATAGATTTACCTATTCTAGATTATTTCAGAAGTGAAGTCATACAATATTTATCATTTTGTGTCTCACATTTCACTCAGATTAATGTTGCAACATTCACCCATGTTGTAGTGTGTATCAGAGCTTCATTTCTCTATAGCTAAATAATACTCCATTGTACATATGCACCAGAGCCCTGATTGCACAGTGGTTAAGAACTTGGCTGCTAACGAAAAGGTCAGCAAATCAAATCTACCAGCCACCCCTTGGAAACCCTGTGGGGCAGTTTTACTCTGTCCTGTAGGGTCACTACGAGTCAGAGTCGACTCCACACAACAGGTTTCTATATATACGACATTTTGTTTATCAGTTCATCTGTTCATGGACACCCAAAAAGCTTTTTGTTATATGAAATATATCTTTCCGCATTTATGGTATTATAAATTAAAACCAAGAAATTTTTAAAAGATTTATCTAACAAATTTAAAATAACAAAACTTCTATAAAAATACAACTTTATTTTCCAAAACAAAAAATTAGTGAGAAGAATGCCATTGTTTTACATGTTTGTAACCCTCTGTAATTTCTGGCTGAACAAAAGACAACCAGATTCTCACATCTGCTTTTGTTCAATCTGCTGCCATACGTTGTTTTGGTTGAAGTATGTGAAGAAAATTTGGCCTCCCACAGATATTTAGTTGCAAAAAGAAGGACTTTGCAGACCCCCTGAAAGGTCTCAGACACCCAGAGCCCCTTTGATCACTATTTGAGGGCCACATCTCTGCAGCAAGGAGTCCCTGGATGGCACAAATGGTTAAGCACTCCACTACTAACTGAAGGGTTGGTGTCTCAAACACACCCAGAGATGCTGCGATCTACTTCTGAAAGATCGCAGCCTTGAAAACCCTACAGAGCACAGTTCTGCTCTGTAACACATGGATTCTCCATAAGTCCCAGTCAAAGGCAATTTACTTTTTGTTTGTTTTGCTCTACAACAAATTCTGTAACTCTAAGTGGTAGCAGAGAATCTTAGTTCCTCAGCAATCAAAAGACCCTAACAACATACCCAACCATCTGTTTGTGTATGGCCATAGCATAACTAATTCATGTAATGTGGCTAAATATGGAACTTTTCCTTCCCTTTCCCAACATGATGAGGTTCTTTTCACCTTTTTCATTTAATTTACTTAACTTCTGGATTGATGCTAAATCAGATTGATCTCTATCACTGTCTGCACCTAGTAGACCCTCAACAGCTAATTAACAATGATATAAAACATCATTTCTTGTTGATTTTTCATTTCTCAGTTAGCTCTAACTGTGTCTTGAACATACACTGCCTCACACTGCTAAACTTTGATAGGAAAAAATATTTCTTTCCCAGAAATACTGCTCAAGTCCCAGATTCTTCATTAGTACAGCAAAGCTGAATTCAAGGGTAAGTATCTTTTTTTTTTTTTTTAAATTTCCAAGTGTTGGAAATATTTGGAGTCCCTTATCTGTAATGGAGCCCAGGTGGTGCAGTGATTAAGAGCTCGGCAGCTAATCAAAAGGTCAGCAATTCGAATCCTCCAGCCACTCCTTAGAAACCCCGCATTTCCACTCTATCCTATAAGTTCACTATGAGTCGGAATCGACTCAACAGCAATGGGTTTGGCTTGGTTTTTGGTTTGTCTGTAATATCTTAATACCAAATATCTTAATAATGACAACATATCAAAAATGTGCATGAAGTTTTTTTTTTTTTAATTTAGAGAATAAGTTTTTAATTAACATTATTGCTTCCACAAGATTAAATCAGGAATTAAGCTTGTTTCCATAGTTGCTGGACTAAAAAATAAATTGAC